CCAGGCCGAGATATGAAAATAACGAACAAATTGATGCAAGTGAATAAGAATATGTATGAAAATAATTTCTCCGTACAATGGCAAAAGGGACAAGAGGCAATGGTAAAAAGTATGTACACTAGAACTGGCAAAGATATACAAAATATTGAGAATACTTTAATATTGCCCAAATAAAAAAGAAGTTAAAGTAACTGCAATGCTGCAAGCAACATCTGGAGCCTACAAAGTCAAAACGCAATTTGCTGCCGATGAAGAAGTGATTCTTCGACAACCAATCAATTATAAGGCGGAAGGTGGTGTTACATATACTTTCAATGCCAGGCAAATGTCCAGTGATGTCCATGCTGAAATTATGTGGTCACCAAACAAGAAAATATCAACAAATATCAACTTTAATTATATGAGAAATGGTTTGTTTAACAGTAAACTTACTTTCTCAACACCATTTGCTGCAATGAGGAATTTTAACAGCCAAGTCAAATACACATGGGCCAATCGAAAATATACATCCATAATGTCTGTGTCTTGGAACAACGAAAATGAGCTGAAGCACGACTTTTCCTTCGTTTACCCTGACTTCCAACTTTCATATGATGCATCTGCTCTTCTCAATGGTAAAAAATCTGAAGTAGGACTTGCCATGAAATATTCAGATATATCTTTAAATGGTAATATAAAAGTTCATCATGATAAAACTACAATCATTGATGCTATCTTGAAGCACAGCACTCAGAGAATGAACAGTGAAAGCGAAATTGTGTTAGAATTTGATATTCTGCGTACCAATGGAAAAATGAAAATCACCTCGAAATACGACAAACGAAAGGGTGAGCTCATGTCTAATGGGGAAGGTAAACTAAATCTTCCATTGCAGTATCTCCGACAAATCGGTGCTTCATATAACTTCAAACATAAAGACGATTTGTGTTCCATTGATATGAGTTATTCAAGCTCATTAAGAAATTACAGAAACGGAAAGATGTCGATTGAGATGAAAAGAAACTTGCCGAAAATGCTGAAGGCTAAAATGGACATGACACTTAATGGTAATCTAATGTTCAACATCGAAGCCAATTATGAAAGACAAAGAGACAACATCGATATGAAAGTTGATATTACAGACGCAAATGGTAAGATGGCAACAGTTTCAGGAAACATTAACTTCTCAGGTGATAGGAAGACAGCCAATATTAAAATCGATTCCAGATATACCGAATTTTCTGCTGATGGTGCTTTCGAATACAAAGGTATTCGATCTGCAGATGGTGAGCTGAAAGTAACAGCTGATGGTAAGAGTGTGATGATGAGAGCCAATTACAAGAAAGAGCGAACAACATACAAGATGAGTGGAACATTGGGATTACCAGATGGAAGATCACTGAAAATGGAAGGAAGTCTTGACTTGCAAAATATTGCTGCATCTTTCAAGACAATGAGTCCAGATTTTCCTGAACTCACTGAAATTGACATGTCTTTCTTTTTTTAACGGTAACAATAGACTTTTTAGTAGTACAGCATCTTTGAAAGTGATGCCTTATTTTGATAGAACTCAAGTTGAAATGAAATTGACCAAAAAAACTGTTTAGCATCGAAATGAAGACACAATTTGAAACCATGAAGCAAGCAAAGGCCACTGTTATGTTTGACGGTGATTGGATTCGATCTCACAAAACAAAGATCGTTTTCCAATTGAATAACGAAGAAATGGTTGATTTGGACATTAACTACAATTTCAACAGCATGAGTGATTTTGGTATAAGCATTGCTGCACTTACATCTCACAGACGTTACAAAGATTTCCAGTTTGAATTGAAGAATAAAGGTCCTCTTAGTAGCATGCAATCGAGTCTGATACTGAAATTGGCCAATGTCCTGATGCTTGATGCAATGTTCCAGAACTCAAGAAAAACCAGCAAAGCTTCGCTCGATGCCCAAATTTTAGATTTTGATGAATGGAAGAGTACGTTTGAATTGAAAGGTAATCTTGATTATATGACAGCAAACATTATCACAAGCATTGCTAAGAAAGAGGTTAACAGGATCGATGCCATCCTTAAAGAATACGGACGTTCGATTAACCTCAAGATAAGCGGACCGAATCCTGTCAACTTTGATTTTAATATGAAGATCGATACAGAAAAAATCACTTTCGATATGTCATCAACATTGACCTTGAATAGCCGTCAAGTATACGACATGTCCGTGTTCTATAAACATCTGTCGAAATTGCAAATCAAGACATCTATTCCATCATACCAAGATGAGTTGATTGTTACGTTTTCAGGAAACCTAAAAGCTTTCAAAGCACAAACCAAATTCAGTCATAATAATCAGATTTACGAATTAATGCTTTCCAATAAAGAATATTATCGTCAAATGAAAGCAATTCTTAACACTCCATACTTCCAAGATACAGCAAGCTTCAACTTTGATGGGGAACTTAGTGCAATGAATATTTTTGCCCAAGTTATGCATAACAAACAGAAATTGAACTGACCTTCTCTAACAGCGGCTACTATCAACAGATTGATGCTAAAGTAGACACTCCTGTCTTTCAAGTGTCTTTAAAGGGAAATCCAAAAAAGTTTAACTTTGAGTCGATGATTCACTTTCACAAACAAATATACGAAATGAAAGCGTCTAACGAAGAATACTTCCGACAAATGAACTTCCTGCTAAACACACCATTTATGAACTGGGATTTTATGTTTGAAGGAGATTTAGATAATGCCAAAGGAACTTTCAGCGTTTTATATGGTAACAGGAAATATGAATTGACTTTTTCAACAAGAATTTCTTTCAAGACTGCTCACTCCTTTAACTATTCCAAAGCATGTGCTGAAAGTGAACGGCCAATTAAACATTAAAAAAAGCAACAAGCGGAGATTTCAATATTATCTACAACAAGAAAAAGCTGTCATGTGTCGGGTACTTACAAAGATTTTGGACGTAAGAAGATCATCAAAGGCGATTTGAATACTCCTTATTTTAAGGATACTTTCACAGTTTCCGTGACTGGAAAACCCAAGAAGTTCAATGCTGAAGTGAAAGTAGTTCACAAAGGAGACACTTACGAACTGACACTCTCTAACAAGAATTTTTACGAAATGATTGATTTGAATATTTATGCACCAGGAATAGAAGCCAAGCTTGATTTTGAAGGAGAATGGAAAAAGTTTAAATCTTTTGCCAGTGTTAAAATCGTGGATGATTCTTACCGCTTCGGATTATCCAACGATAATTACGTTCGAAATATCCACCTAGAAATGGCCAGTCCGCAAACTGGAAACATTATGTTTGGCTACGATCTCCGAGGCGACCTCAATAATTTTAATTTCACCGCTCAGTTTTCTCACAGACAAAACACGTATGAAATGAATGTATTGAGAAGTATGAAAACAGGAGAGCACCGACTGACAATTACCGGTCCCCAGATAAATATCGATGGACACTTCAATGGCGACTTGAAAAGCTTTTCCTTCAATGCCAATGTTATTTTCAAGAAAGAGAAATATGAAATGATGGCTTCAACGAAAAACTATTTCCGAGATATCTCTGGCAAGCTGATTACTCCACAATTTGGAGAACAAAGTTTCTCGATGAAAATCAATGGACAACTAAGAGATTTTAATGGTTTCATCGAGGTAAAACACAACAAGGAACTCTACAGAAGTGAATTCTCATTGGCGAATCAGGAATTCCGCCTTTCCTTACCCAAAATGCTGGAAAAGCTTCAGGTAAAATTGAACGGCAACTGGAAAAACTTTGAATTCATCATGCAAATGATGGACTATGATGGTGAAAGAATTGAATTTAAAGCTAGCAACAAGAACTTCAAAGAAATGAAAGCCCACTTAGCCATTCCCCGTATAGACAATATTGATGTTTTAATTAAAACAAACGGTGACATACGAAATGGCGAAGGAACTATGAAAATGGCATTTGGCGAAAATGTTTTTGAAAATAAAGTCGAAATGAATTTTGACGGTAGCCAAGCAAATTTCGAAATTGAACCGCATTACAAGATTCTTGGTCGATCTGGAAAAGCAAAACTACAAATCGATCTCATGTTTGTAGATCAATCGTACAAATATGAGTTGGAAGCTGACGTTGAAGATGTTCAATTCAAATCGATGGGGTCTGTGAAAATCTCTTCAGAAATTAGTGTCTTGATGACAGTCAATATTCCAACATTTTATGCAAGTGAGATGAAATTGCGTCTCGTGTCGGAAGGATTTCGGAAGACCGATATGATGCTTAACTTGAAATCTTCGAGGACAGGAATGATTAAGATCTTTTACGAACACAATGGTCAAATGGGAAATTCATTTGTCACAAAAGGTTACATCGAACGAGATGGAATCAGATTAAGTAGCTATTCTCTTGACCTGTATTTTGCTGATGACTACAGCTTCGATTTCAAGTGTGACTATGGCAAATTGCAAAGTAAAATTGAAATAAAAGGCGACCTGAAATTTCAAGGGGTTAAAACCTTGGCAACACTGAGCGCTAATAGTCCTTTCCAAATCTTCAAAGAGTTCTTTATCGCTGTTCAAACTAAAATGTTGCGTGATGGACCAAGTGTTGAATTAGATCTCAAACTTCGGAACCAAGAGTACAATGTGAATATCGACTTAATTGATAGCAATTTCAACGCTTTATTGAATGCGAATATGGATAAGAAAAATAAGAACAAACAATACCAATTCCAAACATCCTACAAGAACACAGACCGAGGCGATGACGTCTCTCGCAGCTTCAATTTTAGAATGGTCCTCCCTGAAAGAACTGTATCTTTCGATTCCCGTCTTGAGAACACCAGACGCTCTCTACTCTTGTCTTCCCATCTCATGTGGGATGAGATTAGAGATCAAAAGGCTGGATTCGAATTGATGGTTCAGAAGGGCGAAAACAAGGAAGGCAAACTCAGAATAATTACCCCACGCCGTACTATGGAATTATATAGCAGGGTTGAAGTGAATGGGAATCACTGTACCACAATGGGTCACATTATGATGGACGTGGACAATAAAGACCAAAAGGTAGATATCAAGGCAGACATGATGACATCAAACGACAGAGCAGACATCGACGTCACCATCAAATTCCCCAACCAGAGAAAGGTTAGTCGAATTTCTTTTATCTAAATTAATTGATTATCTAACTTCAAATACCGTGGTTCTAAATTGAAATGAAAAGATGAAAATTCCATTAAGAATTCGTAGACTGAAAAATCCTATTCTGATGTTTTTCATCCCAAATTCTTTTTGTTTATTTACCAATATTTTAGGGAATGAATCTGAAGACAACCGTCAATCTTCCCAAGGGCGACATTATCTTCAGCAGCACTTCTGAGTTCAGCATAGATCAGGATCCCCAAAAGACCTTCAAGATGTCCACAAAATTAATGTCGGAAAGAAGGGGTCAACATGAAATGTACACTATGCAGATGGACGCTGGACACGACCACACTGGTTTTGCTACTGAGGTGATCGGCCGAGTAAGCAGCAGCCCAGAAAAGTACAATGCCGATGTCGAGATGGGATATTTAACCTTAAAACGTCAACAGCAAAAGTTTGCCATTCGTGGAGAAATTCACACACTCAACCGTGAAGCTAATTTGAAGGTAAATATTTGTTTAATACTTTGTCTTAATCTATCGTAATTGATGAAGGTAATAATTTCTGATAAAAGCATTTTGGCTTTGTAATGTTTGTCTGAAATGGCAGGAACTTTGAACGAGATTCTTTAGCGTCTCCGACAACAAAATTCAAACACATCTCTAGTGTTCATTGCTTTTCATCACCTATAAAATAGTTTGTTCTTGTTTCTGCCATTTTGTTTAAAATACCGACAATTATTTTTCTTCGTTTTGTTATCTGTTAGTATTTGACCTCATTTATGTTCCGTTTATTATTGAACCTAAGCTTTTAGCCACAGAAACCATTGATGATTTCGAAAAGGATTCTTTCTTATTTCTTTTGTTTCGTATACTTGTTTTCTAGCTGGAAGCCCCATCAAAGACCATTGAATTGGATGGATCTATACGTACCGGAAACAGATTCATGATGTCCGCTTTAAAGAAAGAAAGTGGTAAAGAAAACATGGAAGCTCTCTTCAAATTGAACCCAAATTCCAAGAGAATGAACATCATCTTCAATTATGACGAAGGTAAGATCCATTTAGATTGGCATCACTTATTTCCGGTTCTACATGAATTAAAATGAAATCATGACAAACAGAAGATCCATTTGTGTAGGCAATGCTTAATTCCGACCTTTCTTTGATTATTGTTCCGGGATAAAATAAAAAAAGAAGAATTTGCAATATCCATTTGGATTGGTATTTCTTTGATTATCACTTAATTACTATTAATTAATGTACTATCTCTCCCTTCAGGATGCCGCTGATCATGGAACTCCACAACTTCCTCTCGTTTTAGCTCTAATCAATGATTCTTTACCATCGTTCTTTACCATCGCAGTGCCATCCATTTGCACAAACTCATTTGGGATGTTGTTCTGTTTCCTGTTACCTGTCCTACCTTCAATATATCCAATGACTGACAAATTCGCAAAGTTACTCTCTTTTCTTACTCTATCGCCCAGAAATGTCAATTATTTCTTTCTGAGTTAAAATATTTTCTTCTAGTTCTTATTTTCTTCAAAACGTCCTTTTTGCCGACATTGTTTGTGCGTCGCATTATCTTCATCCTTCTGTAAAGCGCCATTTTTGTCGCTCCTTGTCATCGATAAAGAAATTGTCCAGAATTTACTAACATATGTGCAAGATATGATGTAACAGTTCAACATTCTTTTTGTTGTTTCTAAGGAAATTTTCCAATCACTTAATACAGTCTTTAGTTTCGGTAAGACATCTTTCTCTATTCCATTTTTTGTTTTTGTTTTTTTTTTTGGTGTCACATTTATGATACTACACAGATCTACACAGTAAATTGATCCGACTGCTTGGTTCTAATGATTACAATTCCTAAAGTTGTCTATCTTCCTGACACCCATAACTTCTGTTTTCTTATTGCTAACTGCTGTTAGTCTTTTCTTTGTTCTTGCAATTATCCTTCTGTTACTATCAACACAATCTTAACTTTGTACATGATATTGCTAAGATAATGTCCGTCGGTGATAAACACTTGTAGGTTTTTTAATTGTCTCAGGATCTCGTCTTGCTGTATATATTAAATAAATCAGATGAAAACACGCATCTTTATCTTACTCTATTTTTGTGTACTTGCTCAAATCGCTTTCTGTCCGCATGCAGGGGCTGAAGTTCTTCGCAGTAAATATTCTAATCTCTTTCCAATATAAATAAAGTTTTTCTAGTAGTTCAAAAGTATTTGTGGCATGCTTTATCAAATGCTTTTGCGTAATATATAAACCCTGAATCTCGATCTTTTTGTATGAAATCTTTTCGTACCGTAGTCCCTATTTCTGCAAAGACTCGAAAGATTTCTCCAAACTTGTGGATTGTTTTCATTCTTGTCATTTCTGTATCCTTCACCAATTCATTTTTAGACATCCTTAGAAATACTGATGAAAGAAAAACTATTTTCTTCGTTCTTATGAAAATCTGATTGTTTCTTATTATTTTACAGCCGATCCTAACAAGCTATACCGCATTGACGCCGATCTGATGAAGACTAAGGCCAACTTGAAAGCTTATCGGACCAACAAACAAAGGAAACAATTCACTGATGGAAGAGTTACAGTTGAACTCAAAACAAACAATCTTTTCCAATCGCACATCAAGTGGAATCCAGATTTTCTTGAAGAACTCAACGTAAGAGAAAAAAAGCTATTAAAATATATTTATAAAATAACAATTGGCTTTTCATATAGCAACATCACAGGATTAATAGAAATTTAAAGAAAATACCTCTCGTTACAGAAAAAAGATAAGAAAATTCAAAGAGAGATTGAAATAGTTCCCTCTATATTGATGCATTATGGCTCAGTAATCATTGCAGAGTAATTGCCCTTTAGTTCAAAATCACCTACTCCAAAGGAACTGGTATGAAATTATCTCCCTTTGCCCAACCCGATATAGTCTATTGAAATTAGATTAAAAACAATCCAGACAATTGATTACATTTTTTATATTCTGTTTCTTGCAGATGTTTGGTTACAAGAAATTGACCATGTACGGAAAGGAATTGAAATCATTTGGAGACTCTGTGATTCATGTGCTGAACGATGAAGTTTCCATGAAATTCGCTCTTGCCAAACGATCATTTAGCGAGGAGATGGAACCCATAAGAGATTATTTTGCAACTGAGTACAACAGTATGGCTGAGGATATCACCAGAGTCATGCGCCATATGAATCGGATGTTCGAACAGGATTTTCTCTACGTAAAGACTGCAATAACGGCCATCAACAATGAATGGCATGAAATGTGGCTTTCCTTCAACAGATTTCTTAAAGGAATGAAGCAGATGATTGAAGACTTCAATTGGGATATGAAACATAGAATGGATGAAGCAAAGAAACAATTCGACTACTACTATGGCCAATACAGTATGCAGCTTAAGGTAAGTAAATTTCATTTTATTCACCGCCGCTAAATCAAACATTAAAAATTCCTTATTCCAGCGAATCTGAAATCTTGTTTACTATAACTGAATCTTCGGTGTAACCTTTTTTTTTTCTTTTAACAGAACAAAGTCAACGAATTCCACGAGTATTGTAAACAAAAGTGCGAAATGTTGTATGAACGTGCAATGGAAATGAAAACTGAAATTGTTTCTTTTCTGAAAGATTATCCAAGCACAATTAAAGGTGAGATACTTTCGCTTTCATTCTTACTTTTAGAATGAAACTTGGTTTTCAATAAATCGCGTGTAACATTAAAACCAAATTCTACTCTTTCGACTGGGCTGAGTTAAATGTAAATTCTATGCAAATTAAATTCACAATTAATGTTTATGTTGTCAATTAATATATTACATCTAAGAATATATATTTTTTATTATTGATCTGCTTTGAATAAAACAGATTATTGACACGACTTAATAGAAACATTGATGAATTCGCTTCAAGAATATTTGATTTGTATCTATGCTTTCAGATCTTATGGATCGGATGCGCAGAAATACGTACGGAGAGAAATTGATCGATTTCCTAATGACAATGTATGAAGAAGCTAATAAAAAGACAGTACAAGCCAAAGAGCATATGCAGACTTTAACATCTGCCATTTATTCGGCCCATGCCACACTCAACCGTCATATTGCCAGAGTGAGACGTTATCCAATCGTTGATGCTATCATGGAGGCAATTAATGAAATCTACCAGCAGGTAACATAAAGCTTTGATTTTACAACTCTCTAATTAATTAGATGCTTTCCTCAATGAAGGAAATTGTGTTCAGTTGTCATCATCTAAACTTTTTGTTGTGGATCCCGCGTGAAAAATAGGTATCCAATAGATGACAAACGCAAGTATTTAAGCTAAGAAATTAAATGTATTTACACAAAATACAAAAGGTAATGCTGTTAGTAAAATCCAGGAACACGGTTAGTAGCAAATACAGATAGATATATACAGTCTCGAAGTAGGACTTCCTTAGAGTCTACGTGCTTGTAACTGACTTCTACAAGAGGTTACTTCACTCCATCCGACACCCTACGACTCATGTACGACTTCCTGTACGATCCCGGTACGACTTCTGTACGACTCCCCTTCACTGCCTGACTGTGGCTATTTTATGGCAGCAGGACGAGTCCATTATATCCGAAAAGGGTGAACCCCATAATACTTTTGTCTATGGTTATTTCTTTATTGTCTCTTGTAGGCTTTGTGGGCGTACAATTACTGGGATGTTAGAGACAACGTGTTGGGACTGAAGAAGACCTTGTACAAATTTGGTGCTGAGAAAATCAAGGAAATCAAGGACATCGTCACTGATGTTGGCATGAATACTTTGATTTTCGACCCGAAACGTGGAGAGATCATTATTGAGATTCGCTTTGGTGCTGCCAAATACGCCTACAACCACTTCATGTCGAGTGTGGAAGATCTAGAACGGGCTGTGATGAAATTGGGCAACCTTATGCCAAATATCGACTTGAATGTTTGGGATATTTACTACATGATGAAACCTTCTTCCGACCTCTACGATTATATTCCTCCATTCAAAGGTACGTCACATTTCCAGATGTTTTTTTTCCATCATAATTGCTTTTTCTTTTTCCAAATGACAACAAATATAATTATTGATATTTGAAGACTTCCATTAACATCGCATTAAATTCCTAAGATGATGAATAAAAAAAGAAGATCTGGTTTAATACAAGGAAGCGCTGAAGAGCTCTTATGTTTGGTCATTGAAATACTGACTTTATGAAATGGGCCGAGCCGAGAATTTTCCAGCATATTCTGCTCATTTAGCCACTATCAAAGGTAGAGAATCCGACTGACTTGCCAACATTTACTTTTTGAACAAATCGAAGCCTTTGACCGAGCTATATCGCTCTTAATGACCTGTAGAGACGCTGATATTTGCAAAGACAGTCTGACTTTATATGTGCGGAATGTTAGTTCTTTGTTATTTTCTTTACTGATGAGAAAGTTTCCTGGTTTATTTTCAGCTGAGGCCACTCTGTTCGCTGGTCAGCACATCACTACATTTGATGGACGTCATCTCAATTACAAGGCTACATGCAGCTACCTCTTGGCACGTGACTTTGTCGATGGTAATTTCAGTGTTGTGGCCAACTTTGACGCAGACCGTAGAGCAAAAAAACATTGAAATCGCTCAGCCTGACAACGGCTCATAATGAACAAGTGGAAATATTCCCAAACAACAAGGTAGACATCTATTCTTCGCCTGTCATCATTATTCTCAGTAAAAGACTTATCCATTCTCTTCATTCTTCTTATTATTATTATTCGATATAAATGGCTACTATTCTTTGTCTTGAAAGGTATTCTACAATCGTCAGATGGTGAAATTGCCGCTGAAACTTACCGATGCCACAGTCACTCGTCAAGACAACTTGATCGTTGTGGAAAGCAAGCGAGGCTACAAAGTAATGTGTGACCACGATATCCAACTGTACACCGTGCAAATCAGCGGTTGGTATTTCAATAAAATGGCTGGTCTTTTCGGTAACTACAACAACGAACCCGAAGACGACATGCTCATGTCTAATAACAGATACACCAACGATTTGGAAAAGTTTGCCCAGTCGTGGTCAGTTTCCAGACAATGTAGATCTCATCGTAACTTTGCCCCCAGCCACATGGTTCCAGAGAACAGAGATTGTGCACACTTTTTCTTACAATCTGATTCGCCATTCCGTTACTGTTTCAAACAGGTAAATAGCTACCATCTTTTTTTCTTTTAAGAAAGATTTGTGGACATTACGATTTCCAAATATATAATCTCTTCTAATATTTCCAACAAATTCTTCTCATTTAGAAAATACAACAAAATCTATAATTGTTGAAAGATTCCCAAGTGTTCAACATTTTCTTTGTTTCTCATCATCAAGTCGTAAATATCATCAGAAACATTCTTTTTATTTCCAGAAAAAATGATTAATAGATTTCCTAACAATTCGCTTATATTTTATTCCCATACCAGTGACTATGCTAGATTTTACAAGTGTACAGACGTAATGATAAAAGTTTTCAAGGTTTAAAGCTACAAAATCTCAGTAATTGTTGTGGCTTCAGTTTTTGTGCAACAAATAGGTTTTACAAAATGGAGTTTTGCTTGACAAACATCAATTGATTACTGACGGTGTAGTAACAAATTGCACCAGTTTTCAATATGGGCGTCAGGTGAGTGTCATGAAATTCTCAGAATTTCTTAGATTCCAATAATACTTTGGCTTAATCCACATTTAATGATCGTTTTATGGCTTAATGCTATAAATTCCGTTACAAAATCTCTTATCTATTGAATAAGTAAAAATATGTTAAACTAATTTTATGTTTAGGTAAATCCTGACCAATTCTACAAGACTTGTGCCATGCAGTTGTCATTTTCAAAGGCCACATCAATCGACTTATGCTATGTAACAGCCTTCTATATGAGAAAATGTGAGAACAAAGGAGTTTATATGTCAATGCCAGTCATGTGTCCCAGGAATATCTGAACGACCCAAATCCAAATCCAACCAAGAAGGTAAATCGTATTTCCTTGATGATACTCAATTGAACACGATTTCATTTCCTCTATCTTTATTTAGTCTTGAAATATTCAATACAAATCGTTCGATCCTCTATTTCATTTGTCAATGATAATATTAATCGTTTCCTTATAAGGAAATATTCGGCCATGCATCACAGCTACATAAAAGTTTCGATCTGACGACATTATTTAAGAACATAACTTGTCTTTGTAAAGTTGATTTATTTAACTTTTTTTCATATTTTTATTTCATTTTTATAAGTCCATCGATATATGGATATACCTGATTGTTCTCCTCCTGGTAGATAGATAGATAGATAGATAGATAGATAGATAGATAGATAGATAGATAGATAGATAGATAGATAGATAGACTCTAAAAAGACAAAAAAATTATCTTTCAGTCGTAACAAAGATGTATTGTAATTTTCCCAAAAATGTTATCTTTTTTTTTTGTTACTTTCAGACAAGGCTGAATATTGATATTCATCTTGAACCATAAAAGGATCTTAATTTCTTCCCTGTGATTATATTTCTTGTGAAATAAAATCTAATCTAAGCAATCTAAATTTGTTTTTTAGTTTTTTTTTCTTCTTCTTGGAATCAAGCGACTCGATTTTTTTTCTCAAAGTGTTGATAAAAACAAACAAAAAAGCGTTCCTTTGCAACCCCCAATCCACCCCACAAATTTCTCTTCAACTTACAATATTATATTAATTTCTCTCCTATCGATATAAAAATCTTTTTGAAATTTCTCTAAAGCTAACTTTTATCATTTTTATTTAGTTACATTTGTCACTTGGTAATTAGATAATCTTTTTTTAATAGCAATAAATATTTGAAAATTAATTAATTTCTGAAAGTTGATTATATTTTAAATATACGCGTCTTTTTTGAAAGATTGACAATTCCATTATATATACGTCCATATAACTCTGTATATTTTTGCTTGGTTGGTTTGTTTTTGGAGGGGTGGGTTATTTGTTTCTTTTTAATAATGAAAAACAAATTGTTATTACTGAATTCAAATTATTTCACTCAAACTTGACAAAGGATTTAAATGCACGTTTTGGATTAAACTTCCATTTCTAATTCAGTGCTTTTATAGTATTCAGTCATAAAGTAACAATTAAAAAGACAATCTAATTGAGAATGATCCAAGATATGTAACCTCGTGTCATTTTACAATTTATGGCAAGGCAAACCTAGTCAACTTTCGTGATTTTTGTTTTTGTTTTGTGATAGCGGAAAAATACTTTTCCTGTAATCAACTTGTGAAAATACACACGATGACAGCAACACAATCTATCACCGTCTCACATATAATGATTCAATCTTTCCACAAAAACGACACAAAAATCTGGTTTCATCAACCCCAGGTTTCCCTCTGGATACGAGAAATAACTTCACAGCAAATAAAATATCTTTACGTAGTCGAAACGTTGCTGGAAGACATAGAGAATGGCTTTTATAAAATATTCTTCTTGCCGATCCCATACGACACCTTGAAAGCTGGTATTCTGAAGCGAATTGGCAATTCCGAAAGGAACTCGAGTTTGAGACTGTTTCGATCACAACTACTTCAGTCAGTGCAATATCTCATCGCCGAGCGTTCTATAGACGGTATAATCTTAAAAAGTATACGTTAGACAAAATACTTCATGAAACGGTAAACATTATGACTCCACTGACAAAGATTGCAAAACTTATGAAACTAGCAGAAATCGCGGACGCTATTCACAAAATTCATCCGACCATAACGAATAAATGCAACACCTAACCAGAATATCTCAGCCAGGATTGATCAAAGCCATGACCAAAAGCATGCATAAACTTGCATGTACTCAATAGACACTGAAGGAATCAACAACAAAGACACAGCAGTCGACGTCGTAGCCATAGCAGCAGCGGATGAATCACTAAATACTACCGGTACTAACAACTAATTCGGGCACATATCAACGAAATATGTATCTTCATGTAACTTGTCCACTTCAAACAAAAGAATTGTGAATTGCCCCCAGGAAACCCCATAAATGCAATCATAAAAACTCGGGACACCAACCTCAGAAAAAAAACAAATAGCCAATAATAACTCATTGCTGGCAGTAAGCAACAAGCTAATACACTTCTACAGCAAGGAATCTCTAAACCTTGGATATTGGTCTTCAAAGATTCTTTTTTTTTTACATAGATCTTTGTCTTTCCGTTATTTCTCATACTCCCTGTCACGCCATCCATTTACTCAAGCTCATTATGTTATGCGTTGTCTTCGTCTGTCTCACTTGCCTTCTATCTGTCCCGTGAGAATCAGATTTTCCAAGCCAGCTCTCCTCATTACATGTCCCAGAAAACTCAACTGTCTCTTCCTGATGTTAAGTTGTAGTTTCCTTTTTGTTTCCATTTTCTCCAAAACATCGTCACTGCTCACATGTTCGATCCACGGTATACTCAGCATCCTGTAAAACCACATTTCTGTTGCTTCAAGTCTCCTGTTCATTTTTGAGGAGATCGAACACTCACTACCATACAGAAGTGTGACACTGAGATCTCTGGAGATTGATCAAACAAAAAAGAATGAATAGGAGAGAGTCTACTAACTGGTTGATAATTGTTGAAATTGAGGAAAGATGGATTGAAAGGTTGAGAAGAAAATTAAATAACAAAATGCGTTGAAAAATTTAACTAGACGAAATTCACTAAGATTGAACAAACCCAAGACTACCTATCCTTCCCCCATATCTCACCGATAAGAGAGGCTATTAAGGTACCCGCGAAAGATGTCAGATAAAATAAAAACATATGTTGTCGAAAGAGAAATCCGGGTGGTCAGCGAAATAGCATTCACGATTACCCTGGATCAGATAAAATAAAAACATTTGTTTCGAATCGAGCAGCCAGAAGAAAAGATCATTGCGGTGACATTTGTCCAGAGAAAATTTTATATCCACGCATTAATTCAGATTTCCTTGGACACAAGTGATAAGGAAAAAATGAATTACTATTTTGAAACGGCTATGAACAGGAAGGCTGTGCGTTCTTGTTGATGGTGAAACAAATGCATAATTAATAAGACTTAAACACAG